CTTGCATTATTGTTACATATATTAATAGTAATTTGTTTGAGAGATTTTCAGTTTAACATCAATCATATATATTAACGCTAAAAAATGAGATTATTAAAAGTATTTCCAATATGTTTTAAATTTTTTTTATTGAAAATTCTTATATTTTTCCCGAACTCTAATGATTATCAGTTTTGGGAGAGCAAACCGAAAAATGTTAGAAACGTTTTTATTTATTTATTTTTTGAAAATGTTAGATCACATTGATGAAATTATTATTTTGTAATTTTTAGGGGCAAAAGAGGTAAATTTACAGGATATAAAAAAAGGATTTTAATTCGTTAAGTGATTGTGAAATATAGTTTTCAAAAAACTTCATTATTACTTTGTTTATTACGCATGAAAAGTCTTGTTATCTTTAAATTTAAATTACAAATTATTTATTTACAGGGAGATGTATCAGATAATGATAAATTAGGAATCATTCCAAGAGTTGCACATGATATATTTAGCAGAACAGAATCCTTAGATGACAAAACAAAAAGCGAGATAAAGGTAAGCATAAAATGAAATGTCTTTTATCAATGAAACATTACATTATATACTGCAAAACTTAGAACCCATGAAATATATTTCATGTTGATTAAATCACGTGGTTTAAATTATGACTTAAAACACGATTAAAATATCACTATGATATTTTAAAAAGATAATGATAAATTGTATCAGATAATGATAAATTAGGAATCATTCCAACAGTTGCACATGATATATTTAGTAGAGCAGAATTCTTAGATGACAAAATAAAAAGCGAGATAAAGGTAAGCATAAAATGAAATATCTTTTATCAATGAAACATTACATGATATACTGTAAAACTTAGAACCCATGAAATATATTTCAAGTTAATTTTATCACGTGGTTTAAATTATGACTTAAAACACGATTAAAATATCACTATGATATTTCAAAAAATAATCATTATTTAAATTTAAAAATATTTTTACGTATTATAATAAGGCATGATTTCGTTGATAATGAATGTTCAGCACAGAGAAATAACGAAAGGGAGTTTTACACTATTTTTCATATAGATTTTGATTGAAGTAGTTTTATTAAAAAAGAAAGGCTAAATGCACGGGTGCCTCTCTTCAGTCATGAGGACTGAAATCAGTCTTGAGAAAACAGTGGGCTGAATGCCATGCTACAGTTAATCTCTTTCCAATTTGCTTTTTTAATTATTAAAAAAATCTTTTTTAAAAGAAAAAACAATAGTTTTAAAAAAATTATTAATTTTTAGCGAAGTAATTGGAATGATAGAACTTTAACATTTTCTCATGCTTTTTTTTTCCTCTGATGCTTTGAAATGCTTAGACAGTCAAAATAGAATGCTCAAATTTATGTATATATATATATTTTTTCCTTTCTTTTGTAAAGAATTGGGACTAAAAATTGACGATGAAGAAGTGAAAAATAATTAGAGATATGAATGGCTTCAATAAAAAAATAAAAACTAGTAGGCTATTATTCAGCTAATGGTGCAAAAAAAAGAAAAGAAATATCTATATTTTATTTTTGTGTTGTTTGCTGTAAAAAAAAAACTAAAAACAATGAAAAATATATTTTTAGAAGAAACAAACTAGCCATTGATATTATATATGGGCCATTTTCGCTGAAAGGTGTTTTTTGCACTCATTGAGGAATAAAATTTTGGAAATTCTGTTGCTTGACCGTGTTAATTAGTCGATAAGTAAGTTCAGTCTCGAAATATTTTTAGAGTAGCATCCAAGCTAAATGTTGATAGAAGTAATGCTAAAGTAATAAATTAAATTTTTTATTAGCCTTATATAAAATGACTTGTTATTTAATAACAATGTTCAATTTTTCCCATTTAATTTTCATGAAAAAAATAATACTTTTAATATAGGAAGTAGTGATCAAGATTGGTTGAATTCTTTAATGTTTTCTTATCGAAATGAATTTGCATGGTGAGGAATTAATTGTTTTATAAATTTCCTTTGGAATTGAACTTGAATAAAACTAACTACAATTTTACGTAATCCGAACTTTGATCGGTTGATTTAAAAAAAAATTATTTATGCATAAAAAAGATTACTTAAAAAAAAACTCAACTCTGAACGGAAAAATTCCTAACTTTTTATATGTATTATATGGTGTAGGACGCTATTACTGTCATCACATATTTAGTGTAAAAATGTGTATATTTATAGTTTTGTTGTTATTTTCTAGATATCATATTATGAGATATATTTGGAGAAAATAATTGACCTTCTAAGCAGTAAGTTAGATAGAATAGATATCCTTTTGTTTTAATACATTTCAATAATTTATGCTCATGACTTACTTATTTATTTCATTTTAGATTCCACTAAGGGAAATTTATTTGTATATGAAGACAAAAAACGTATGCCCTTCATAAGTGTAAGTCACCGCTTCTCCTCTTCTTTAAAAATTTACTTTTCATATTTTATAGAAAAATCATACTTTGGCCCAAACTTAATTGCTTCAAAAATTGGTCATTTTAAATATATGAAAAATAGGGACACTTAGTAAATACCCAAATCTTACGAAATTATTATTTTTAATTATGCTTCCAAAATTAATTTTGATATCTAATAATTAAAAAATTATTTTGAATTTTAGGGTCTCAAAGAGGTCACAGTTAAGAATGTCCAGGAATTGATGGAGTTTTTTACTGAAGCCAAGCTGAAAAGGCATGTTTCTGAAACAGGTCAGTGGACAGTTTTGTTGTAAAATCTCTATATTTCACAATTTATATTAAATTGTATCACACATAGTAAATTCCATTCTGAAATAATATTGAGGAAATGGAGTATGTATGTATAAAATAGCATATGAACATAACCTATGTTCAAAATCATAGTTGAGCTGCTATTTCTCGTATTAGGGAGAAATCCTGAATTCTTAGGGAAATACTGTTACAAAAATTACATTAGTCTCACAATATTTAGCTTTCATTTGGAACGGAACTGCGACCGTGAGTGTTGGCATGCTTTATGTCACGATTTATATCACTTGATTTATTAAAAAGCAGATTTTAAATTNTATTAAAAAGCAGATTTTAAATTTTAATTTTAAATTTAAATTTTAATTTAAAATTTTAATTTTAAATTTTAATTTTTATTTTAATTTAAATTTTAAGCTTTAATTTTAAATTTTAATTTTAAATTTTAATTTCAAATTTTAATTTCAAATTTTAATTTGAATTTAAAATTTTAATTTTTAAAATTTTTAAAATTTCTAAAATTTCTAAAATTTTAATTTTTAATTTTAAATTTTAAGTTTTATTTTTGTATAGTATATACAGTTTTTTTCAAACTCGATAATTACAATCAATATTGGAATTTATTTATTGTTGTAATTTATGTCTCAACAGTTATAATGCTTACATTTATTTGTAATTATTAATATGTAAGCATGTAATACTTGAGGAGAGTAATAGAATACATTTTTATTTCAGACTTAAACAAGATGAGCTCCAGAAGTCATACAGTGTTCCAAATAGTCATAAAACAGGAAAACTCTGCTGAACGAAAAAGAATAACAGGAAAGCTCCTACTGATTGATTTGGCTGGCAGTGAGCGGGTAAGAAGGTTTTTCCATATACAGGATTTTCAGCAACAAACTTTCTTTTTATCAGATATTTTTGCATGAATTGCCTTAAACAAGTAAAAGACTACACACTAAGGAATTTCAATTTATTTCAAGTGATTAAAACAGTTAATAAAATTTGAAACATTTATAAAAGTGGTACTAAACACGCCATAACCTGTTAAAAGCTAGAGTAACCTATTAGGATCATGCCTATCATCCTGTAAGAATCATGCCTGTTAGCTAACCTGTTAGAATCATGCTAAAGACTTTTTCATTTCATCCATGATAAAAAGAACAAAAGACCATGCAAATGAAAAAAAAGCTTTTTTGAACAATCATCAATTTAAATTAGGTAGATTTGTTTTTTACTTTTAAAAACAGATGTCACTACAAAAACTTACAAAACTAGAAGTCTGTTTACATCTTTTATATACTCTTATTTTAATTATTAATTGCATAAAAAAATAAAAAATTACATATTTTTATTAATTTAGCGAAAATCCTGAACTTTAATAGCTTAAATAATTTACAGCTTGTTTGAAATAAGTATTGTTTTACAAGATTGTTCTCACAATTCTGTTCTGTACTTAGCAAAATAATATTTTATTGGAGCATAGCTGAGGCAGCAAAATTTATAATGCTGATATTCAGTGTTTTCGATAGTATTATCCTTTGAGATTTTAGTTATAAATACGTTTTGGTATTAGTTTTCTTTATACTCAGATTTAAAAAGTTTTACAATAGGAAAAAAATGCAAAAATAAATTAAATAAATAAGTGCGTTTCGAATTTAAAAAATTCTTATTTTAGTCACTTTTATTTACAATTTTGAATATAGGTCATATTTAAAGTTGTAAAAATTAAGGTTTGTTTCTATTTTATTTTAGGCCTGCCAAAGAGACGTAAGCGGTTCTGTAATTCGAAGAGAATCCAGCTACATAAATAAGTCTCTATCAGTTTTGTCTAGAGTGATTTTTGTTTTAACTAGTAATACAGTAAGTAAATATTAGTTTCAATGCAGAGCTATTGAAAAATACTTTTTAAAAAAGTGTGAATTTAAATTGTAATGTCAGTTTTCCATTTATGGATAATAATTGTATTTTAAATTTAAAAAGAT